TTTAAGGGCTTCGGTCATTTACTCCAAATATACTGACTGATACTGACTGACCATAGTATTTTATCTTGTGGATCTGATCACTTCGCTGAAAATTCTCCAGCTTGCCCATGAATATGTCAGCTAGGAGAGGTCAAAGAGGCAAGCCCGTGGCAACACCGTATATTTGTCTGTATAGCTGGCTGTCAAAAAGTTTCACAGTTTCACCCAGTTTCCATATAAATGTAAGGTTTGACGAGAATTTGTTGAAAGTATACGTATACCCGCCAAACTAGACTTCTGAAATCTCGATATATTTTAGTAACCGCCAATACAAATGAACATACGAGTCCCAGGAAGTAATTAAGAATAATAATAATGTTGTGCCCTACCGGCCGTTATACTTAAATTCAACGTCTCCAATGTTGTATACAGTCTGTCTTGGGATAAGTAAATATTTCCCTACAATGTGAGGAAGAATTCATATAGTCCTCATAAAATTTCGCCATTGATGTGTACCGAGTTGTATAATTTATAGGGTTGCTTTATAAATGCACATTTCATGGTCGTAAAAATTCTCATAGTTATAATTTTTTAAACCGAAGGATACCCTTTCTTCAAGAATAAAATGTGAAGAAGACGCAGTCTGATACCAAACGAGTACAAGAGAGAATATTTCTTCTAGAAAATATGGTTGAATTTGCTAAGGCAGTGAAAATCAATGAGAAAATGAATACTACTTAAGTAGTCATTTTTTACAGAATATACTTCTTGCTGCTGGTCAAAAGGAAGCTCGTTCAAAAGAAGGCGTCCTGAAGTTACAGAATTATATTGAGATTTTGTCGCGTGTTAATCAATATTATGACGATACTTAATTAATATGTTCGAATTGAAAGCACATTTCAGAATTTCTGCTGCCATTTCATGCGATAGATTATTTACTTTGTTATTTGGAATGATTTCTCTGATACGGAAGCTGTATGCCAGTGTAGAACCTGCTAACCTTTCGCAAACTGATCACATTTATTACGGCCTGAAGCCCTCAACCAAATTCGTTTGGACTTCTGTGGGGTTCAAGTCAGAGCCTATTCTTAGAGGTAACTGGACGCTGATCTGTTCAGATATCAGCATCGAAATCATCTTGGTCACCAGCAAGTCCTGTCGATCTCGCTTTCGGACGCGAACAT